GGGAGAACACGCAGAGACCGCTCAGACCTCCAGGAGCAATGTCTTAAATGTTAAAAATACATGTCCCTGAATGTCCTGGATCCTTAGACTTCTACAGAATATGTTATCCACTAACTCTAGGGAGACGTGAGCGAAACGTGAGCGAGACGTGAGCGAGACGTGAGCGAGACGTGAGCGAGACGTGAGCGAGACGTGACGAGACGTGAGCGAGACGTGAGCGAGACGTGCGCGAGACGTGAGCGAGACGTGAGCGAGACGTGACGAGAAGTGAGTGGGACGTGAGCGAGACGTGAGTGAGAAGTGAGCGAGATGTGAGTGAGACGTGAGTGAGACGTAAGCGAGACGTGAGCGAGACGCAACATGAGCGAGACGTGAGTGAGACGTGAGCGAGACGTGAGCGAGACGTAAGCGAGACGTGAGCGAGACGCAACATGAGCGAGACGTGAGTGAGAAGTGAGCGAGATGTGAGTGAGACGTGAGTGAGACGTAAGCGAGACGTGAGCGAGACGCAACATGAGCGAGACGTGAGTGAGAAGTGAGCGAGATGTGAGTGAGACGTGAGCGAGACGTGAGCGAGACGTAAGCGAGACGTGAGCGAGACGCAACATGAGCGAGACGTGAGTGAGAAGTGAGCGAGATGTGAGTGAGACGTGAGTGAGACGTGACGAGACGTGAGCGAGACGCAACATGAGCGAGACGTGAGTGAGAAGTGAGCGAGACGTGAGCGAGACGTGAGCGAGACGTGAGTGGGACGTGAGCGAGACGTGAGCGAGACGTGAGTGGGACGTGAGCGAGACGTGAGTGGGACGTGAGCGAGACGTGAGTGGGACGTGAGCGAGACGTGAGTGAGACGTGAGCGAGACGTGAGTGAGACGTGAGCGAGACGTGAGTGGGACGTGAGTGGGACGTGAGCGAGACGTGAGTGAGAAGTGAGCGAGATGTGAGTGAGACGTGAGTGAGACGTAAGCGAGACGTGAGTGAGACGTAAGCGAGACGTGAGCAAGACGCGACATGAGCGAGACGTGAGTGGGACGTGAGTGAGACGCGACGTGAGCAAGCTGTGAGCGAGATGTGATTGAGATATGAACAACACATGAGCGAGGCGTGAGCGAGGCGTGAGCGAGACGTGCGCGAGACGTGAGCGAGACGCAACATGAGCGAGACACGACATGAGCAAGACGTGAGCGAGACGTGAGCAAGACATGAGCGAGACGTGAGCGAGATGTGAGCGAGACGTGAGCGAGATGTGAGCGAGACGTGAGCGAGACGTGAGCGAGACGTGAGCGAGATGTGAGCGAGACGTGAGCGAGATGTGAGTGAGACGTAAGCGAGACGTGAGCAAGACGCAGACATGAGCGAGACGTGAGTGGGACGTGAGCGAGACGTGAGCGAGACATGAGCGAGACGTGAGCGAGACATGAGCGAGACGTGAGTGGGACGTGAGTGAGACGCGACGTGAGCAAGCTGTGAGCGAGACGTGAGCGAGATGTGAGCGAGACGTGAGCGAGATGTGAGCGAGACGTGAGCGAGACGTGAGCGAGACGTGAGTGGGACGTGAGCGAGACGTGAGCAAGACGAGAGCGAGACGTGAGTGGGACGTGAGCGAGACGTGAGTGGGACGTGAGCGAGACGTGAGTGAGACGTGAGCGAGACGTGAGTGAGACGTGAGTGGGACGTGAGCGAGACGTGAGCGAGAAGTGAGCGAGATGTGAGTGAGACGTGAGTGAGACGTAAGCGAGACGTGAGCAAGACGCGACATGAGCGAGACGTGAGTGAGACGCGACGTGAGCAAGCTGTGAGCGAGACGTGAGCGAGATGTGATTGAGATATGAACAACACATGAGCGAGGCGTGAGCGAGGCGTGAGCGAGACGTGCGCGAGACGTGAGCGAGACGCAACATGAGCGAGACACGACATGAGCAAGACGTGAGCGAGACGTGAGCAAGACATGAGCGAGACGTGAGCGAGATGTGAGCGAGACGTGAGCGAGATGTGAGCGAGACGTGAGCGAGACGTGAGCGAGACGTGAGCGAGATATGAGCGAGACGTGAGCGAGACGTGAGCGAGATGTGAGCGAGACGTGAGCGAGATGTGAGTGAGACGTAAGCGAGACGTGAGCAAGACGCGACATGAGCGAGACGTGAGTGGGACGTGAGCGAGACGTGAGCGAGACATGAGCGAGACGTGAGCAAGATGTGGGTGAGACGTGAGTGAGACGTAAGCGAGACGTGAGCAAGACGCGACATGAGCGAGACGTGAGCGAGACATGAGCGAGACGTGAGTGGGACGTGAGTGAGACGCGACGTGAGCAAGCTGTGAGCGAGACGTGAGCGAGATGTGAGCGAGACGTGAGCGAGATGTGAGCGAGACGTGAGCGAGATGTGAGCGAGACGTGAGCAAGACGAGAGCGAGACGTGAGCGAGACAAGATGTGAGCGAGACGTAAGTGAGACGTGAGCGAGACGTGGGCGAGACGTGAGCGAGACGTAAGAGCGAGACGTGAGCGAGACGTAAGAGCGAGACGTGAGCGAACGTGAGCGAGCCGTGAGCGAGACGAAGGGGAGACGTGAGCGAGATGTGAGCGAGACGAGGGCTTTTGCTCCAAAGTCAGAGAGATTCAAAGTGACAAGTGTCCTCCAAGAAAAAGCAAAGGCCACGCTGTCAAAGAGGCTCAGCTCAGAAAATGAGAAAGAGAAAGAGGAGGAAGAGGAGAGAGAGAGACCGGAGAGAGAGACCAGAGAGAGAGACCAGAGAGAGAGAGACCAGAGAGAGAGAGACCAGAGAGAGAGACCGGAGAGAGAGACCAGAGAGAGAGACCAGAGAGAGACCAGAGAGAGAGACCAGAGAGAGAGACCAGAGAGAGAGACCAGAGAGAGAGACCAGAGAGAGAGACCAGAGAGAGACCAGAGAGAGAGACCAGAGAGAGAGACCAGAGAGAGAGACCAGAGAGAGAGACCAGAGAGAGAGAACAGAGAGAGAGACCAGAGAGAGACCAGAGAGAGAGACCAGAGAGAGACCAGAGAGAGAGACCAGAGAGAGAGACCAGAGAGAGAGACCAGAGAGAGACCAGAGAGAGAGACCAGAGAGAGAGACCAGAGAGAGAGAGTGAGACAGAGAAAGGGAAAGTGACCAGAGACAGGGTAAGAGACCAAAGAGAGAGACACACACACACACACATAGAGAAAGACAGACAGGCAGAGAGAGAGAGAGAGACCAGAGAGGGGGAGTGAGAGAGAGACAGACAAAGAGAGACTGAGACACGCACACAAAGAGACAAAGATAGAGACAAAGAGAGAGAGAGAGAGAGGCAGATAGAGAGAGAGGAAGAGAGACAGAAAAACAGATAGAGACAGAGAGAGAGCCACACACATAGATTGAGACAAAGATAGAGACATACAGAGAGAGCGAGAGAGAGAGAGAGAGAGAGACACTCTGAGTTCCTGTGTGTATGAACAGTTCTATACAACCCCAGCCTTTCTCTTTAACTACTTCCTGGACACAAACACTGAACAATTACTCCTTTTTCATCCCTTTCTCTCTTTTGTTCGGGGGATTTTCTTGAACCTTCACTGAGTCGAAACGCCGCTTCTTTGAATTCAATAAATGTCCGCGCCCCGCCCTCAGTCGCAGCTCTCTCCCCGGCAGCTGCGGACACAAGGCCCGATTGAATTAGTTTCATAAAGAGCCGGCATTAACGCCATCGCGGCTTCGCTTTTAGCCGCACTTTAGCCGCCGCTGCTAATCCTGGCTCTCATAATGCAGGCAATTAGTGTTAGCGCTAATACATGTGTGTTCTCTGGTCTCTCTCTGGTCTCTCTCTCTGGTCTCTCTCTGGTCTATCTCTGGTCTATATCTGGTCTATCTCTGGTCTCTCTCTGGTCTCTCTGGTCTCTCTCTGGTCTCTCTCTGGTCTCTCTCTGGTCTCTCTCTGGTCTCTCTCTGGTCTCTCTCTGGTCTCTCTCTGGTCTCTCTCTTGTCCCTCTCTTGTCTCTCTCTGGTCTCTCTCTGGTCTCTCTCTGGTCTCTCTCTGGTCTATCTCTGGTCTCTCTCTGGTGTCTCTCTGGTCTCTCTCTGGTCTATCTCTGGTCTCTCTCTGGTCTCTCTCTGGTCTATCTCTGGTCTCTCTCTGGTATCTCTCTGGTGTCTCTCTGGTCTCTCTCTGGTCTCTCTCTGGTCTCTCTCTTGTCTCTCTCTGGTCTCTCTCTGGTCTCTGGGAGATAGTTTTAATGAGATAAACCCTGTATTGACTTTATTTACAGCGGCAACAAAAAGAGATTCACAAACTGAGTCAATAAAAAGCATTTTGAAAAACAGATGTTTTAATCTCAGAGAGAGGACGTGTCACCAGTGTCTTGTTTCGTCGCCATAGCAACGGTGTTTCTGGGTCTGAGGGTTCGATAAGACGTTTTGTTTTTGATCTGGTCAGGATTAACCTGGTCTCACCTGGTCTTACCTGGTCTCATCTGGTCTTACCACACCATTGTACTCATTTCATTTCATACTAAGGTCTGGATTTAATCCATTGACTCTGTAAACAGGTGGGAGGGGTTGACTCCTTTACCGAGACGTATGTAATGAGCCCGAGTGAGTGAGGCATTTAGCCTAGCTCTGTCTGGTCTCTCTCTCTCTCTCTCTCTCTCTCTGGCCTCTCTCTCTCCCTCTCTCTCTCTCTTTCTCTCTCTCTCTCCCTCTGGCATCTCTCTCTCCCTCCCTCTGGCCTCTCTCTCCCTCTGGCCTCTCCCTCTCTCTCTCTCTCCCTCTGGCCTCTCCCTCTCTCTTTCTCTCTCTCTCTCTCCCTCTGGCCTCTCCCTCTCTCTCTCTCTCGCTCTTTCGCTCCCTCTGGCCTCTCTGCACCTGTCACTCTTTCACGTGGGTTGCCATGACTGTCCAAAAACCAGCACCGGGGCAGAGACAGCGGCCGTGCACAGGCTAATCAGTTTATTCAAATGTGTGGGATTACGGAGAGAGAGACCCTCAGCACAAAGACGCCCGCGGAGCCACATGTGCGTGAGGCAAGCGTGCACGAGGGGTCTGTGCACGTGGCGGGCGTGCACGAGGCGGCCGTGCTCCAAAGCCGGACTTAGCCTTGTTACTCGCCGCCGGCTGCCGTTCTCTCGGGCGGCGTGTAATAGAAGTGTCCAATTAAGAGTGGATTTGGCGAGGTGCGATCTCGCTGCGGTCTCGTTGCGGTCCCGCGGCGAGTCCCGCGGCCGCTGGGCTGTGCAGAGCGAGGGCTGTTCGGGAGCGAAGGCGTGGAACCGGTTGTTTATTGGCAGTGGATGGAAGCACACGGGAAACACATGGTACAGATTTAACAAGGGCTGGTTTGGTTTTCATTCAGTCAGATAGGATGCAGACCAGAGGAACCAGAGAGACCAGAGAGAGAGACCACGGAAAAAGAGATTCCTCTCATCTCTCTCTGGACTATTTCCTCCTCTGGTCTCACTCTGTTTTCCTTTTGGTCTCTCGTTCTGGTCTCCATCTCTCCGGTCTCTCTCCCTCTGCTCTCTCCTAAACCCTACCTTTGCCTCCACACACACAGAGTCATTAGTAAAGGCCTTCTCTCTCCTCCTCACACAGAGTCATTAAAGGCCTTCTCTCTCCTCCTCACACAGAGTCATTAGTAAAGGCCTTCTCTCTCCTCCTCACACAGAGTCATTAAAGGCCTTCTCTCTCCTCCTCACACAGAGTCATTAGTAAAGGCCTTCTCTCTCCTCCTCACACAGAGTCATTAAAGGCCTTCTCTCTCCTCCTCACACAGAGTCATTAAAGGCCTTCTCTCTCCTCCTCACACAGAGTCATTAGTAAAGGCCTTCTCTCTCCTCCTCACACAGAGTCATTAATAAAGGCCTTCTCTCTCCTCCTCACACAGAGTCATTAAAGGCCTTCTCTCTCCTCCTCACACAGAGTCATTAAAGGCCTTCTCTCTCCTCCTCACACAGAGTCATTAAAGGCCTTCTCTCTCCTCCACAGAGTCATTAAAGGCCTTCTCTCTCCTCCTCACACAGAGTCATTAAAGGCCTTCTCTCTCCTCCACAGAGTCATTAAAGGCCTTCTCTCTCCTCCTCACACAGAGTCATTAAAGGCCTTCTCTCTCCTCCACACACAGAGTCATTAAAGGCCTTCTCTCTCCTCCTCACACAGTCATTAAAGGCCTTCTCTCTCCTCCTCACACAGAGTCATTAATAAAGGCCTTCTCTCTCCTCCTCACACAGAGTCATTAAAGGCCTTCTCTCTCCTCCTCACACAGAGTCATTAATAAAGGCCTTCTCTCTCCTCCTCACACAGAGTCATTAAAGGCCTTCTCTCTCCTCCTCACACAGAGTCATTAAAGGCCTTCTCTCTCCTCCACAGAAGTCTTATCTCCTTCTCTGCTCCTTCACATAAACATCCGCAGAACAACACGAGGTGATAGTATCTGTGCCCAGACTTTGAGAATAGCACTTTACACGACCACGCCCAGCTGCGGCCGCCGCGCCTCCTCAGCCGCGCCTCATCAGCCGCGCCTCCTCAGCCGCGCCTCCTCAGCCGCGCCTCATCAGCCGCGCCTCCTCAGCCGCGCCTCCTCAGCCGCGCCTCCTCAGCCGCGCCTCATCAGCCGCGCCTCCTCAGCCGCCGCAGAGAGCTAGCATCCATCTCCCTGATAGCATCGCGCCGCTGTTAGCACAAAATGTCAGCCTTATCTGCATGAGTCTTAATTGATTTGCCGCGCTCCGGATCTCGACAGGTTCTTCCCGGGCCCCACTCGTCGGACGGAGCGTCAGAACCCACGGACGCGCTGACGGACGAGGACGCGGCGCTTTATCAACACTTCACAGACACACCGTTTCTAGCTCTTTTTTTCTTTTTCTTTCACCTCAATCTTGCGGGAAAATCAATGAGGCTTATCTCTGGGAGGAACATGTCGGCCTCACGCTGCCGTTCTGGACTTGTTTGAGTTTGGTCAATATCATTATGGTTCATGAGATCGAAGCGACTTATGGAAGTGGCAGTTAAAGGGCACGTACCATGGACAAGGCTGAAACCATGTGACAAGTTTGGGGTCGTTTGCATAGCTCTCGAGAAAACTAGCTCACTCTCCACCCACACCTCCTCCAGCTCATCTGGGGGAGTCTACCCAGAGAGAGAGACCAGAGAGAGACCAGAGAGAGAGACCAGAGAGAGAGACCAGAGAGAGAGACCAGAGAGAGATCAGAGAGAGACCAGAGAGAGACCAGAGAGAGAGACCAGAGAGAGACCAGAGAGAGAGACCAGAGAGAGACCAGAGAGAGAGACCAGAGAGAGAGACCAGAGAGAGAGACCAGAGAGAGACCAGAGAGAGAGACCAGAGAGAGACCAGAGAGAGAGACCAGAGAGAGACCAGAGAGAGAGACCAGAGAGAGAGACCAGAGAGAGAGACCAGAGAGAGATCAGAGAGAGACCAGAGAGAGAGACCAGAGAGAGACCAGAGAGAGAGACCAGAGAGAGACCAGAGAGAGACCAGAGAGAGACCAGAGAAAGAGACCAGAGAGAGAGACCAGAGAGAGACTAGAGAGAGAGACCAGAGAGAGACCAGAGAAAGAGACCAGAGAGAGAGACCAGAGAGAGACCAGAGAGAGAGACCAGAGAGAGAGACCAGAGAGAGACCAGAGAAAGAGACCAGAGAAAGAGACCAGAGAGAGACCAGAGAGAGACCAGAGAGAGAGACCAGAGAGAGACCAGAGAAAGAGACCAGAGAGAGACCAGAGAGAGACTAGAAAGAGACTAGAGAGAGACCAGAGGGAGACTAGAGAGAAACCAGAGAGAGAGACCAGCGAGAGACCAGAGAGAGACCAGAGAGAGACTAGAGAGAAACCAGAGAGAGAGACCAGCGAGAGATCAGAGAGAGACCAGAGAGAGACCAGAGAAACATCAGAGAACGTTCTAGGCCCCAGGGGATTTCAATCTCTATTTTCATTTCCCTTCTGCATCATCGCTGCTCCGTCGGGGTCTGAGCCACATCTTTCTTGTACGGAGACAATAAACGTATCTCGCTGATCTCCAGAGTCGTACGTTCTCTGTCGGTGAATTCCCATCGATATAGAATCTAAAAAGTCTCTCATGATTGATTGTGTCGATGACTCTTGAGCTGAAGAGTTTCCTGAAGGACCGTTTGTCGATCTCGTCTCTGCGTCTGTCACTTTAATGTCCATTATATCTTTGATTCATTCAAACCAACTCTGTCGGTCTCCTGCCCCTCCCTCCTGGAGCCAAGACTTTGATTGACCACTGACTTCTACTTTCCTTTTACTCTCTAGTCTCTCTCTGGTCTCTCTCTCTGGTCTCTCTCTGGTCTCTCTCTCTAGTCTCGCTGTGATTTATCTCTCTGGTCTCTTACTCTCTGATCTTTCGCTCTGGTCTCTCTCTCTGGTCTCTCTCTCTGGTCTCTCTCTGGTCTCCTTCTCTGGCCTCTCTCTCTCTCTCTCTCTCTCTCTCTCTCTCTCTCTCTCTCTCTCTCTCTCTCTCTCTCTCTCTCTCTCTCTCTCTCATCTCTCTCTCTCTCTCTCTCTCTCTCTCTCTCTCGCCTCTCTCTCCTCACTCTCTCCTCCTCTCTCTCTCTCTCTGGCCCACACCCCCTGGCCCACCTCCTCAGTGTCCCCCGACTAAAACCCCTACTACGTCCATTATCCCACAACCGACTCCGCACGCTCCTGGCACCCCCAACCACCGGTCACCGGGTCAGGCCGCCCCCCAACCCCCTTTTCTCCTTTCCGCCAGCCCAAGCCCACCCCCACGACGCCCCGACAGGACCCTAACTCAAGTCACTCGCAGTCTCCACTCAGGCCCCGTCACCCCACGAACGATCGCCGCGCCCCACTCCACACGCACCCGTCACCCCTCCCACCCCGCCCGAACGACCCCCCGCCCTCGGGCCCGGCACTGGGCACCTCACTGCCAGAAACCCCGCCCCGCACACACCCCACCAAACCGGCGTCCGACCACAACGGGACACATAACGCCGAAACGCCCCGCACCTTAGACCCCAAATGCGGACGGCGCCCACCCACCACCCCAGCACTATCACCTCGAACACCCACTTCCAGCCCCATCCACCACCTCCACGAGAAAGCCCAGCCCCACTCTACGCAGACCCACAGACCACGCTACGACGACCCGCACCCAACACTCTCCCAGAAGTAACCCCCGACTCGCATGTAATGCGCCTCCAAGCTCCCCCGCCCCGCACCTCCTCCACCCCCCGCATCCCGCCACCTCCGCGCCCGCGCTCTCCGATTCCTCCCGGTAGCCCCTCCCGCATATCAACCAGACTCATCCGGCCACCCCTAGCCCACCAACGGACAACTAGTCGCCCCGTTCCGACTTCCCCCGCCACCCAGACAATCAGAAGATAGCCGCGCGCGGTACCCGATTCACACTCGCACATCAACAACCACGCTCAGGGTACATCGTAAACCATATGACTCTGCAGGCTCTCCCTCCCGCGCCCAGCGTCGGCTCCAAGACCCCGCCCCCAGTGTGGCAACGCACCCCACCCGTCCCCCATCCCCCTCGCCTAGCCTAACCCCTTCACGAGGCCCCTCCCCCTCCTAACCCCCGGTCCGGGGCGGACCACACGCTCACGGCAAACCCACGCCTCCACTTCGCAAGTTCGCCCCCCACGCCCCACCCCGGCGCTGACTCCCGCCGAACCGTTACCATTCCCTCAACACCCAAGCGCCCAGCCCACCCCTTCCAGGGCCCTCTCCCGCCATGCCGGGTCGAACGACCTCTCACAGGCCGACCGCACTGCCCTCCCCTATCGGGGCCCGAAACAGTCCCACAGGCCGCTCACGTCACGCGACATCCCCACCCGCCTGGCACCATCTCCGCCCGCCAACCACCGGACACACCCAAGCGACTACTCCCAGAAGTCACACACCGGCCTCCACTCCTACCCCACCACCCCCCCGACGGACACCCCCCCCAACTCAGCGCCCAAACTTCACCATCACCTCAATTCCGACCGCCTCCCCACGCACCTGACCCACCCACCAGGCCCCGTCCCCTACTGCCCGCCTCACGAGCCCCCGCTCACCCCCCCCCACCCAGTGCCAGGCCATCAGAGGCGCCGTCAACCCTCCACTCACCCCCGAACAGGCGCCCCCCCTCCCCCCAACCCCTCTACTTCTCAGATCCTCTCTCCCCACAAGCCCCTTCAAAACCGCGCCAACGCCCACGCATCTCCCACACCTCGAATCGAAGCACCGACCCCGCACCTACCCCGCCGTCCCCACCTCTTCCCACGCAACCACCTCAATCGCGACCCACCCCGCCAACAGTACCGCCCCGCGCCCCGGCCACTCCCCGCCACTAAATAGCTCCTCCCCAGCCACACAAGCTCGCGCCAGCGCGAAGCGTACGAATCGCGCACCCACAACGCAACACCCCTCGCCCATAACTCACCACCTGCCACCCACCCCTCCCCCGCCCCTCTACACACCCACCCCTACCCCAATCCGCTTGCACCATCACACCCAGCATTCCACGGCGTACGGGGGGGGGGGGGGGGGGGGGGGGGCTCAACTACCGCAAACCGTCGTACCCACACCCCACCTCCCAACGCCCCCCCTACCCAACCCCCCACCCCGCCAAACCCGTACACCCCCGTCACACTGCCGCAGGCGTCCCAAGCGCCTCACATACCAATCCTGCAGGCATTCACCTGCAACTCCCCGCAGCCGACGCCGCCGCACACGGAGCACTTGGTTTCCCGTCACCACAGCACCGACCCCGAGACGACTCGGTCGGTCAAATCCCTCACCCCACGCCTCAACGGTCCCGGCCGCAACCCGCATGCCACTCGTCCACACTTTCCTCTAGATCGACAGCGCGACGCAACCCCATCCCCCCCGAGGTCACGCCCGCCGAGCGCCGTCGGTACAGCCCCAGGCACCCCCGCAACATCCCATCAACCCGCTGGCGCCCCTGCGTAATCCATCGCCCCTCTTATTCCAACCAACATTCCCTCTCACTCAGTCCCCCCCGAGCGTCGCAACTCCGGAGCCCTCACATCCCACCGCCTGCCGACTACGCCACGCCCTCACTCGGACGCCGAAAGCATTCGCATACGTACCCCGCTCCCCGACATGACTCCCCCACAACTCCTCACACGGCAATACCAACTCCACCGACACCGCTCCTCGCGCTCAAAGGACACCCCGCACACCTTCCATCCACCCAGGTCAATCGCACTGGCACTGTCCACATTCACACACAAAGAGGCAAGGACCCCCCGGCATCGGAACACACAGCCCCCGAAGAACACGCTTCCCCAAGACATGAGCCCCGGTCTCTAAATCTCACCTCTCACCAACCCACCGCCACTCCAACCCGGGCCTTTGTCTCTACCCCAAACCCGCCAAAAGCCGAACCCCCGCCCGCGCAACCCTTCCCAGGTCTCCTCTCCGCACCTCTGCCACCTCTCTTAAAAATCGGACCAACGACTCGCCGCCCCCAAACACCCCTCATGCGTCGACCAGTGACACCGCACCGCGCTCAACTCTGATGAGAACAAGGTCTCACCCGCGCTGCCGCTTCGGCCAACAACAAACGCCCAACGTCACAGCCAATCTCCAACTCTTCCTCCATGCCTCACATTCGCCAACTACCCCATCGCGGTGCAGTATCGTGCGTACTTCCCTCCCCGCCAGCCACGCCCCTCACTCCAATCCTCGTCGCTCTCTCTCGGACTCGTCATACCCGAACCACCCTTACACGATCAGTCTCACTCCCCATATTGTACCCCCCCCCCCCCAGTCGGAACAACCCAACACGGAGATTAATTCCCCTCCCGCCTCGACCTGCCCAGAGCTCCACCCAGCAATTACCATCTCGACGGCAAATGCCGATCCACAAGCCCCTCCCACCGCTGGCGAGATCCGCGCCCCGCCCAAATCCGCCCCCACCACCACGTAACCGAGATACACTACTCGAAGAACGCAAAATGCACCCTCCCTCTGCCTCCCCCCCTCACAACCAGGCCTATTCTCCGATGCCATAGCGCTCCACCCCTCCCTCGTGGACCCAGTTCTCACCATCACAGAAATGAGGCGGAATCCCTCGCAAATCATTCGCCCGTAACACCCATCACACACTGTCACGACAGCAAACCGGCCTATCGGTCAGCACTATATCCAACACCCATCCCCGACCCTCTCCACCTACACGTCACACCAACACAAGCCCACTTCACCCACGAAAAACGTAGTCCCGTCCCCCCTCCCTCGCCACACCACGAGGACATCCCCCTCAAATTCCACAACTCGGGTCATCCCGCCGCCACACCCTCCTCAAAGCACCCCAGACTAGACACTCTCGCGCTCCGTCGGGCACCGAGGAGACCTCATCACTCACCTCACTTCTTTTCGTCTCACCAGACATTCTGGGGGCCTCTGGCTCGCCACGCAATCCCAAACAGGACACGGCATCCCCTACCTGATCGGCCCAGGACACCCCGACAAACTTCTCGAACATCCGGCCACTCATAACCGCCCCCGTAGCCCCCACCCCAAAATCCCGTCTACACCATCAACCTCCGAGCACGCGGTAACCGGCCCGCAGGATTCACACGCAACTCCTATCACCACACCCACCGGTCCCCGTAAAAGAGCCCGCCAAGCAAATGAACCCACTCGCATAGATCGCGTCCCTTCACCTCCCCCCGCCGACCCACCCTAAGTTTCTCAGGAGTGCGAGACTCCAACCCCGTCGACCACCCCCCTCTCAACCCACGACCTCCTCCCTTCGTCCACTTCTCTGTCCGACTAGCCGATCCACTCACTCAAACCCTTGCCCTCCTACACGCATACCCGAAACAACGCAATGCCCGCGGCCCCCACCCTATTCCTCGACCCTCACACCCGATCCACACGCAACGCGACCACCCAAGATTCTGAAAGCAACGGCCACCTGAAGCAAACACGCCAACCCAAACCAGCCTCAACCCCAAAACAGGCTCAAAAGCGCCGCCACCCGCCACACCACCACGCCCCCTCGGTCCCACGAGCACTCCCACTGCCCAAAACCGCCCAGCAGTCCAACAGAATCAACACTTAACGTCAGCATCAAATCGCTACTCGACAAGCTCAATAAACACACCGCCCCAGCACCAGATCTGGCCACAGCCTCGAGGTTAGACTCCACTCGAGATCACCACCATTCCCTAGACCTCCACTATACCTAGTTCGACTCGCCCCACTTGATTCGGGACACAGCGCCGCGCCCCATCTCGCCATCAGCCCCCTCCATCATCTCCCTCCTTTTCCCGAACGCTAGAGAGGCGTCAGAGGATGATTACGTCCCCGACCTCCAACCCGATCCTCACCGCCCATCTAGGACTCCCCCGTCCTCGTCCTACCAAACAATGACGCGCACCCATCCACCAGACTCACCCACCCTACAACAAACCACGCGCAAATACATCCACAATCGCGCCACCATCGGTTCACCCCATCCCCCCGGTAACCCACGCGCGATAATCGCCCCCACCGCCGGCCAACTCTCCTTCCACCCTAGCGCGTCGCACACATCCACAAGTCCAGCCCCTCCCATCCACCGCAAATCGTCCGCACCACCAGCCCACCCTCTCTCCCCAGTCGGTACACCCGACAGGGTCCGAGCCGCCCTCACCCTCACGAGATCAACGTCATTCCCAAACGGGGCCCCCTCAACCCACTCTAGTTTCTCTGACCCGGCACCATCAGCAAACCATACATCGACCTTAGCCGTCTTGCCCAACACGATTTCCTCGCCTCTCCACCCGATCCCACTCCCGGCCTTAGAACTACACTTCTCATCACTCGTCACAGGCAACAATCTCCCTAACCGCACCGAAAGCCGCCAAGCGAGTCCCACAAGACCCAGGGTCAACCTCCTCCTCCCTCTCACCTCCTCTACCCCTCCGGCCCTCGCTCCAACTACCCATCCCCACCAGACCCGGCCCACTAAACCAAGCGCCAGGAGAACCAACACTCAACCCACCAACCCCCCACAGACCAACGACACGCACCACTCACAGAAGACCAACACCCCCCCACACACACACCACTGCCGCAAACGCCACACCCGACACACTCTCCCGCGAACCCCCCCTCTCGCGGCAAACCACCCCTCCCATTCCGAACACCCAAGGAATCCCTCGAGTAAATCTAAGGCATCCTCCCCTCCCGCCCCCTCAGCGCCCCGGCCCCCCTCCACGTCAGCGCAGATTCTCCCCGTCACCATTTCCCTTGCACCGCCCACTACTCCCTCACCCGTCAGTCCCTCAACACACCAAATACCCTCTCAACCCCAGCTCCAATTCTTCAGCATCGCCCACGCCGGTCCAGTACCACCCACCACCTCCGCTCGCCGCGCTCACACCTCAGTCCCGCGGCCCACCTATTGGATTGTGGCTCTCTCCTCTCTCCTCTCTCTCACTCTCTCTCACTCGTCCCGTCTCTCTCTCTCTCATCCCTCCTCATCTCATACTCTCTCTCTCTCTCTCTCCTTCTCTCTCTCTCTCCTCATCTCCTCCCCAACACAGCCTCCTCCTCCCACTCCTCTCGTCCGAATCGCCGCTTCTCTCGTCCATCCAACCTTTCAAAATCTCCGTCTCCCCTCTCCTACTCTCCTCACTCTCTCCCCCTCCCCTCCGCTCTCCCTCCCGTGCTCGTCCCCTCCCTCCATCAGCATAGACGCCATCTCGGAGCCAAACTCCGCATCCCCACGACCGTCAATCATCCCTCTCTCTCGCACCTCAACACTCTCTCTTCGCTCCTCTTTCTCGACTCATAGGCCGCTCCTCCTCGCATCTCCCCCCTTCCTCACTCTCCTCTACCCCATGACTCTCCGTCTCTCGCTCCCCCTCGTTACCTCTCATCATGTCTCATCCCCACTCCCGTCCCTCTCTCCTCCCACCTATCAATCCGGTCCCTCCCCCACCATCACCTCATCCCTCTCCTCCAGCCCTCCCTCGCCTCGCGACTCCACTCCCACTCCTCTCTTCCGTCGCTCTCTCCTCCACTCTCGCCTCCCTCTCAGCGTCTCCGCTCCTCATCTCTCCCTCGCCTCTCTCTCCTCCGGTCTCAACCTCTCTCCTAACCACCTCCGCCCTCCTCCTCCCCTACTCCAACGACTCCTCCCTCCCCACATCACTGGCTCTCCCTCCCTCCTTCATCCTCGCTCTCCATCACCCCCCGCCGCCTCGACTCCCTCACGCTCTCCTCTCCCCCCCTCTCCCCCCCTCCTCCTACACACAACCTCTCTTCACCGACTCAATCCTCTCCCCTCCCTCTCCTCTCCTCCGCTCCTCCTCGGTACACCTCCCTCTCCAAGACCTCCTCCCCCCCCCTCTCAACTCATCATCCTCCCCCCCTCACTCCTCTCTCCTCCACCCTCTCGCCTCTCATCTCCCTTACCCCTCCTCCCCTCGCGCCTCTCCTCTACCCCCCCTTCCGACTTCCCATCGTCTCACTCTCCCTCCTACCTCTCTATCTCCTCTCCTCTCATCTTTCACTCCTCGATCCACTCCCCTCCCCTTCTTCTCCCCTAGCTTCCCATCAACTCTATCGCCTCATGCTCCTCTCCGTCACTCACCCTCCTCTCCGCTCCTCTCTCCCACCACCCTCGCTCTCCTCTCCGCTCCACCACACTCCCTCTCTCGGTCTCAATCTCTCTCTCAGTCTCTCCTCAGACTCTCCTCACGTCCCGCTCTCCTTTCTCCTCCTTCTCTCTCTCTCGCTAAACCTGCACTCCTCCTCAGTCCCCTCGCCTCCGCGACCTCCGTCTCCAAACCACTCGTTCATCGTCCCTCCCTCCAGGTCTCATCTCTTATCCCCATCGCACTCTCCGCCTCACTCTTCCCTCCTCTCCCTACCTGCCCCTGCTCTCCTCTCCTCATCCAGCATATCATCCTCCATCCTCTCGCAATCGATCTCTCCTCGCCTCTAGGTTCTCGCTCTCCTACCTCTCAGCCTCTCCAAAACTCTCCCCATCTCACTTCTCTTCCCCTCTCCAGATTCACCACCGCCTCAGCGCTGAGCCTCTCCTTCACTTCCCACCCTTCTCCTCTCCTCACCTCTCGTCCATTCTCCCTCCAAACAATCCCAACCTCCCGTCCTATCCTTCTCTCTCAGTACCCTCTCACCACACCTCTCCCACGCCCCCCTCTACTCCTCCTCTGTCACCCTACACATTCCAGTCTCGTCCCATCCCTCGCCCCTCCTCTCTCCATCCCTCCTCCTCACCCGGCCCCCTTCATCCTCGCCCTCCCTCCGACTCCGTCTCTCGCATCCTCCTCCGTCGACTCTCTCTCCTTCCAGTCAGTAATCTCCTTCTCTCCCTCACCAATCCCTCGTCCCTCAGCCGATCCTCCGACCCTCATCCCCTACGTCGATCCTGAGCTCCTCTCCTCCGTCTCCCTCCCGTCTCTCTCCACCTCACATCGCATCTCATAGGGTGATCCCTCTCATCACATCTCCCCCACATCCCAGCTCCAATCTGTCTCACACATCTCCCTCCTCCATCATCCTCTCGTCAACTTCACCGCTCTCCCTCCCCTCAACCACCTCCTCCAGTCTCCCATCTCTATCCCTTCGACTCGTCCAGTCCCATCCACTCCTCTCCCTCCTCACAACCCTCCTCCGTCCCGCTTCTCCACTCCCCTCTTCTCCATCTAATCCTACTCTCATGTCCTCACGTCCGCTCCGACTTCAAACATAAGTCTCAAACGTCTCTCTCTCTCAACTCAGGTCTCTTCCGACCTCCCCTCTCTCCCACCCCATCTCCCCGTTCTTTCTCTCTCTCCCCTCCCTCTACTCTCCTCGTATCGTCAGCAACTGCACTCGTCCTCTCATCCTGGGGTCAATCTCCTACCCATCTCCAACCGTCTCACCTCTCACTATTCCTCTCCTCTCAACAAGCTCCCGCGATGCTATCCTCCTCTCTCTTCGATCACTCCTCATTCCCGTCAAACGCCTCTCTCAACCACCGTCCCCCGCCTCGGACTCCTTCAATTCGTCCTCTCCCTCTCCTCTCCTCAAACAGTCACCTCTCACACTCCCTCACCCGTCGATCTTCCTCGGCAGCTCTCATCTCACCTCCCGACTCTCTCTCTCTCTCCATCCACTATCTCCTCTCTACGATCCCCATCCCAATCTCGCGCTCCCCCTCTCGGGCTCATCCATCCCTCTCCTCCCATCTCTCTCGCAATCTCAAACTCTCTCTCCATCTACTCTCCTCTAACAAGCGAATCCATTCCCCCTACTCCGTATCAACCATCTCTCTCACCTCAGCATCAACCGACTCCTCAGCCTTACTACTCATCTCCTCTCAATGTCCAATCGCCGATCGTCCCGTGTCCTCTCCGACAGAACTCATCGCCGTCTCCCCCCTCACATCATCCCTTCTCATCCCCCCTCAACCCCTTCCATCGCCCACGTGCTCGCTCCTCCTTCCCCTCACTCCTCTCGGGATGTCATCCCTCCTCGCTCCTCGCTCCCTAGCTCTCCGGAACCTCGTCGTCGTTCTCTTCGTCCATCCCTCCGCTCCCATAGCCTCCTCTCCTACCATCACACACTCCCAATCGCCCTCTGCACACATGATCTCTCCACCTCGTCTCGCTCTCAATCCCTCTCTCCCATCTATGACTCATATGATTCCTCCCCTCCTAGTCTGACTCACACTCAGCCTCTCCTCTCCTAACTCTTCCCCCTCACCTCTCTATCGTCCATCTCGTCTCTCTCACTCACATCTCTCTCCCCATCTCACCCGAAACCTCATCATTTTCTCTTCCCTCTGTTCTAGCCTCAGTCTCTCATCCAAAGCCTCGTTCCAAACCGTCTTTCCTCCCCTCCTCCCCTCTACCCTCTCCTCTCCTCCCTCTCACATCTCCCATCTCTCTCAACCTCTCTCTCTCATCCACTCGGTCTAACTCCCCACTCTCAACATCTATCCACGCACTGTCTCCACCTCCCTACTCCTCCTCACCGATCCATCACCCCCTCCCCACTCTCCATCTTCCCTCAAGCCCTCCGCGTCGTGCTCTCTTCGACCTACTCCTGTACAACTCACCCTCACCCTCAATCGGGTGCCTCACGATCCTCTCACCAACCGCTCGCCTCGAATCTCGCCGTGCATCAGACTCACGCAGTCGTCTACTCTCCGGATTACTACTCCTTCTCCCGGTCTCAACCCTCCTCCGACAAGATCCCGACTCCAATCTCTAACACAGGTCCGTCGCTCGTCCGCCCTCTCCTCATCACTCCCCTCCGTCAGCTACTCTCCTCCACACTCATCCCTCGTCTCCCTTCCCAGTCCAGATCCTCTCCCACTTCCATCACCTCTCCTCGCTCCATCAAATCCTCTCACTTCACACTCCACTCCCAATCCCATTCCCCGTCCCAGTCTCTCCCCATTCCCTTCTCCTCCTCCTTCGGCTCCTCCCTCACTCTCAAGCCTCCCTAACCGGGTATCCGCTCGCTACCTTCTCTTCTCCTGCACACTAGATGTTCCCCTCTTCTCTCACCCCCGCCGTCCTCCACCTCCCCTCTCCCTCCTCCTTCCCCCCCCCACCCCCACACTCACTCTCGGCCTCCACCCTCCTCCCATCCCTCTCACTCTACACCTCCACGACTCTCGCCCATCTCCAATCCCCACTCATCTCCCCTCTCCTCTCTCTCTCCACACCCGACATCTGCCACTCTAGCATCCTCCACCCTCGCTCTCCACTCTCCCATCTCTCCGCATCTTCGGAACTCCTCCTCTCACTCACCTCTTCTCCATCACTGCCTCTCCCCTCCGTCCCACCCTCCTCCTCTCTCGAGTCTCTCCACCAACGTCATCGCCCTCCTTCAACCCCTCTCTCACCCGCCCTCCCCGTCCTCTCTCCTCTCCACGCAAGTCCTCTTCTCAGACGAACAGACTCTCGTCTGACTTCTCGAATTCAGCTGAACCCTCTTCTCCTCTCTCCTAATCGGAGACCTCTCTTCATCACTCGTATGGGACTCTCCTCCACCCCACTCCCCGTCCACTCCACCAGTCACTCATTCCGTCCTTCACCCTCCAGTCATCAGACTTCCCTCTACCCCTCCGGTTCCTCGTCCCTCCAGCTCACCCTGCTCCTGGTCCTCAGATAATCCGACTCATACTCTCTCTCAACTGCCCCTCCTCCTCCATCGTCACCCTCCTCTCTCGTCGGACTCTCGACTCTTCCTCATTCCACACTCCTTCTGCATCGTCGATTCTCTAGTCCGTCTCATCTCTCTCTCTCTCGTCCGCTCCACTCTTTCTCTTCCCTCTCTCCTCCTCCACATCACACACTCCACTCTCCTCGCATCCCCCCGACTCCCTCCACTCCTCCATCTCCATCCATGACGTGACTCTCCCTCAACTCCCCCTCTCCAGTCTCACGACTCACTCATCCTCTCTCATAGTCTCCCTCCCCTCCCGTGGTCATTCATTCACTCTCATCACTCTCTCTCCCTTTTCACCCTCAATGTCTCACTCCCCGTGCTTTCCCCACCTATCCTCTCTCCTCTCCTTCTCCCCTCCCTCAAAATTCCTCTCTCCTAGCTCCCCTATCCATCATCCCACTCTCTCACGTCCCTCTCCCGCTCCACCGAATCTCTCTCTCTCTACTGTCTCATCTCGCTCGGCAGCCTCCTCTCGTGTATCCGTGTCCCTCTCCCCCCAACTCCTCATCGCTCTCTCGCACATCATCCGTCGCTCCAGGCAGCATCTTCCTTCCCCTACTCTCCCTCCAACCCCCAACCTCTCGCGGGCTCCCTCACTCGCTATCGTCGACTCACCCCCCCTCATGATCCCCTCACCCTCACGGACACGGGCCTCACGCCTCCGTTCCCTCTCTCATCCCCCTCGTTCTCACCGTCCTCTCCTCTCGCTCCCAATCTCAATCCCTCATCTCCCATGTCATCTTCCTCACACCCGATCTCCATCCACTCTCACATCCCCATCCCTCACCCCTCTATCTCCCTGTCCACACCCCTCTCCTCAGCCTCACTCCCCCAATCTCCCTCCATTCCATCCCAGCCCCCCTCTCCTCAGCCATTCGCAACACTTTCGCTCACACTCACAGGTCCGTACCCCTCAGAGACCTCATCTCTCGATCGGCACTCCTCAGACACTACATCGGGCTCAACCAACTCTCCTTCAAGGTCTCATCGGCAACTCTCTCACAATCCAGGCCAATCCTCTCGATCCTCCTCCACCCTCATCTCGTCTCTCTCCATACTCTCCCCCTCCCTCCTCCTCCTCGCAACGCTCTCCTCACAGTCTACCCCAGAGGCGTCTCCCCACTCCCTGATCTCCAGGTCCCTCCGTCACTCTCCTCGTCCAATCCCTCACCCTCTCTCTCGATCTCCCTCATCCTGCTCGTCCTCTCTCTCAGTCTCACCGTGATCTCTCTTCCGTCCACCTCCATCATGCCTCTCCTCGCATCTCCCGACCCTCCCACCCCACCCTACCTCCTCCTCTCCCTCTCGCCTCCCCCCTCTCACTCACACACCAGGTCCAAGGTCGTCGAAGTCTGCATACCTCAAATCACTCTCAATCTCTCTCTCTCCTCGCGTCCTCACCCCTCATCGTCTCCTACTCTCTCTGGACTCTCTCGTCCCTCGCTCTCTCGTCCCCTCACGCCCTCTCTCCTCCAACTCTCGATCACCACGATTCCTCTCTGGCCTCCCATCCTCACCATCTCTCCCTCAATTCCCCCGTCTCACTACTCTCCTCCCGCCCCTTCTCTCTCACCTACTCCTCTCCCCGATCTCAGGCTCAATGGTACCTCAGCTCAATCTTCCTCGCATCATCCTTCCTGCCTCATCCTCAGTCTCACATTCTCCCCTCTCCGCCACACTCCCCGTCTCCTCCCCACTCCTCAGGCACGGTCTCTTCTCCAACTCCCCCCTTCCACACCGCGCGAGCCGATCTCCCTCATACGTCTCGATCCCCCTCACACTCACATCGATCCTTCTACCGCCTCGGCACACTCAACTCACCCCTTCCGTTCCCATCTCCGGATCCGACGCTCTCTCCTCATTGCCACCTCCAATCATTCTCGCGTCCTCGTCCCCCTCCTCCACCCACCATTCACCCTCTTCAGACATTCCCACACAAACCTCATCCCGTTCTCCAAGTCTAAACCCTCCTACCTCTCTCTCCTCTCTCTAGAACCTACCTGGCTCCGACTCATCACCTACTCCCCATCCCTCTCCCCCTCTCCCCCCTCATCCTCGTGCTCCCCTCTCGACCTCTCTCCCAAACACCTCCTCTCACCTCTCCTCGTCCTCTCGCCGCCCGTCCTCTCTCTCCACCTCACCCCCACCCTCACCATGCATCAACATCTCACTCCAGTCGACCCTCTCTCCCTCAATCTCCTCCCTCGAATCGACCTCTCGAAAACTCTCTCATCTCCACCTCGTCCTGATCTCCTCCCACTGTCCTCCCCCTCACATCTCACTCCGTCCTTCGCTACTCTCGTGAACTCCCTCCCATACTCAACAGCCTCATTCCTCCAGGGTCTCCTCCCTCCCCATATCCCCACTCAAACCTTATCCCAACTCTCACTCACCTCTCTTATCATCATAGACTCGATCGGCTCTCTCCTGCAATCATCCCCAAACTAAGCTCCTCCCGACCCTCATCAATCTCATCTCCCTCTCATGTCGCATACTCTCTCTCTCGCCTCTTCAACACAGATCCCCTCTCTCCTCTCGAATCGACCGTCCTCCCAATCGATCTCCCCCCTTCGAAACTCTCATCTCGGCTCTTCCTTCTCTCCGAGATCTTCGTCACTCCTTACTCACCTTCTCTCCCGGCCGCTCGTCTACCTCTCTCGATCTTCTCATCGCCCTCATCTCCCTCTATCTCTCCGCTCTTCTCCACACTTCTCTCATGCTAACTCTCTGTCTCTCCTCATCCTTCCTCTCTCCCTCATCTTGTTTCTATTCTTCCTCTCGCTCCTCCTCGGGCCATTCTCAACTTCTCTGCTCCTCGAGCACTCTTCTCTCCGGCTCTCGCATTCCCCTCTCTACTCATCTACCTCTCTCACTCGTCTCTCAATCTTACTCTCTACCTCTCTCCGTCAGTCTCTCACCTCAAAACCAAACGTCTCGCTGAATCCTCATCTCGCATACCCCACTCGCTCTCTCTCACTCTCAGATCTCTCTCCATTCCTTCTCTCATCTAAGTCCTCCATCTCCCTCACCCGCCAGACTCATAGCTCCCTCTCGCATCCCTCTCACAGCTACTCTGTCCCTCACCCTCAATAACTCACTCCTCTCTCCAGACCCCGTCTCCATCCGTCTCTCCCTCCTCTTCTCATCCCTCTCTCGAAGTCCCCGCCTCTCTCACCAATCTCACTTCATTCTCCACACTCATCTCCCACTCCTCCTGATCCACTCAAACGTCTCGTTCCTCATCACCCTCCAAACCTCCCTCCTGTTCCCCTCATCAAAACCTCATTCCTCCTCCAACACTCACTGTCCTCGCATTCACCTCCCTCTTCCCACCTCACGCCCCTCTCCGCTCCTCTCTCTCTCCGGTACTCCGTCCTCGCTTCTACCCCCTCACTCAACTAAATCATCCGTCCCTCATTCTTCATCCCAGCCTCCCCTTCAACGATCCCCAGTCACTCTCCACTCCCGAATCTCTCACAATCTAACGCATCCTCCCACCTCTCCTCGCTCACACCTCACGACCCATTATCACCCCGTACTATCTATCTTTCACTCCCTCGCTCTCTCCTTCCTCCCTCACATGCGGACCTAACCTCGTCTCTCACCACTCATCGCCCCCTCTCCACGGACCATCTCCACCCCACTCCCTCGCCTCCATCTCCTCTTTCCATCCGACAGATCCGACTCTCACTTCGTGAGCACTCTACCAATCAACTCTCTCTTCCACCCCCGGGCTCTCTCACTCCCCGCTCCTCTCCTCGTCACAAAACCCCATCACATGAATCCTCTCTCAGTTCCTCTCCTCCTCACCCCGTCGCTCTCACGCCCACACCCCTCTCTCGCGCACTCTCCCGCTCCCCGCTTTCAGCTCACTACAACTCCTACCTCTCGCCTCAACTCCATCCCCTCTCTCCTAACCTCTCCCTCTCGCGCCAAAAATCACTCCCTATCTTCTCTCCATCCACATCACACTCGCTAACTCTGTTCGCGATAAAACTCTCCATCTCCACCACTCCTCCAGTCCGTTCCCTCTCTCTCTCCGACTCTCCACCCTCGCTCTCCACATCCATCCACCGCTCCGTCACTAATCTCCTCTCTCTCAACATCCACCTGCCCTCTCCCTCTCCCAATCCCACTCTCTCGCCCCACCTTCCTCACTCCTCCTCGCGTCCCTGTCTCGTCACCAATCTAACTCACACTTGCAACTCCTCTCGCTCTCTGAGTCCATCGCGTCTCCCAAAAGCCTCGCACTCCGCCAACCCCCAGCTCGCTCCCACAGTCACTCTCCCTGTCCCTCTCTCTCACTCACTCGCCCACCCGACGCCCTCCTACTATGCTCACCATCTCTCCGCAGTGTCTCGTCACCGGTTCGACTACCATCCGCCCTCCCTCTCTCACCATCTCTCCTCCTCTCCCCACCTCTCTGTATCTCATCTCACGCTCGGGACAAAGCCTCCTCCCTCGTCTGTTCTCGGTCATCATCAACTCGTCGCAATCTCATCGCCTTCTCCCACATCTCTCCGTCACGTTCCGCCTTCTCTCTCCAAGTCCTCGCATCCTCACCGCACCTCTTCCTCCCCCCCCCCTCAACACTCGTCCCCGCGCTCGCTAACCGCATCCTCGGCTCCACTAACTCTCCACATCCAATACTCGCCTCCACCAATCACTCACCCTCCATCTGCTCTCTTCTGCTCTCCACCACCCCCGTCATCAGCCCACCCCTACAGATCCTATCCGTCACACAAAGTTATGAACAGCGCAACTCTTCGGGGCCCCAAATCGACTCCCTCCCAACACATCCCAAGAGCTCACTTCAATACCCCACACCGCATCCTCTCCATCGCATCAGGAACTCTCTCGTCACACGACGACTCTTCCCCTCTCATCACTCTCCCGAATTAACCCGTGCGTCCTAGTTCAAAGTCCTCCTCTACATCTCCCCCCCCATACTCCAATCATCCGAAACTCTCTCCATCCATCTCATCTCGGTTCCGTCCTCATGTCACCTTCAGTCGTCATCCTCTCCGGATCCTGCACATCACTCTCTCTCATACTCCTAACTTCCTCTCACTCCAATCCTCTCAT